TGGCGTGTAGGCGCTGGTGTCTCCCCTGAAGTGTCGGCCAGGCGTATGGTTCCCGGGCCTTCCTTGATACTTGGGGGGCCTATGGTGTCCCACTTTGCCCACCCCGTCCCACACACACACACACACACAGGGGTTTCGCACCCTCCCCCATGGTGGGAGAATGGGTGCGGGCCGCCTCCCCTGACGCCGCACGTACTGCGCCAGGGGGTGGTGGGGATTTGCATTGAAGGCAATGGATTCCATGAAGTCCCTATCGCCCGTCCCCCCCACCCACATCTGGTCACCGTTGGAAGCCCTATGGTGGCTGGTGCACCCGGCCCGCTGTCGAGCCCCATGGTGGCTCTGGCCAGGGGGACGGCGCAAAAGGAGCGAGGCGATCCACAGCCGGGGAGTCACGCCGCCGTCAAACACCTCGCTCCTACTCCCCCGAGGAGGGAGGAGGGAGGGAGGAGCAGGGAGGATGGATAACGAGGGCAGCGGAGGCGGAGGAGGAGGAGGAGGAGGAGGAGGAGGGAGGAGGGAGGGAGGAGGAGGGAGGAGGGATAACGAGGGCAGAGGAGGCGGAAGAGGAGGAGGAGGAGGAGGCGGAGGAGGACGCGGAGGGGGATAAGAAGGCGGTGGAGGAGGCGGACGATGAGGAGGCGGAAGTTGAGGGGGAGGAGGAAGAGGAGGAGGAGAAGGAGGAGGAGGAGCAGGAGGAGGAGGAGGAGGAGGAGGATGAGGAGGAAGGCAGGCCCGATCGCCCACAGGCAAGGAACAACCGCTCGGGGGGCGCGCCGCGGAGCCCCTGGGCGCTCGCAGCTCTAGCGTGGGCAGCGGCGCCTCTTCGCGCCCCGCGGCCCGAGGTGCGCGAGGGGCCCCACCACGTCTCGCGCCCCGAGGCCGAGGAGGGCCCCGATGCGCTTCTTGGCGGCGCGCAGAGGGGGGTCGGGGGTAGGGCTTCGTGGGAGGAGGGGTGCTTCTAAGAAGCCTTCCCCCCTCCCCCCTACCCCCCTCTGCGCGTGGCCGACACTTCTCGCACCCCGAGGCCGAGGAGGGCCCCGATGCGCCTCTGTGAAGAAGGGTTGGGCACATCGGGGGGGGCGGGTCGTGCTGGGGGGCGTCCAGACGGGGGTCGTCGAAGGGGGGATTGCGACACTGCAGTGTGGTTTAATCATTTGATTTCTGTCAGGGTAGCGCTTCCATTCAGCCATCTGTTCACAAGTCTGTCGCTTCGGCCGGTGCTCAAACCGTTGCTTCATGTATGACTGCACACTCGTGGGCGCAGACTCTGGGAGGAAGGGCAGCGTGGCGCACTGCGAAACGCTCATCTGCAAGCAGCGTGTCAGCAGTGATCTGCATAGCAAGGGGGGTCGCAGATCCCGGCCCGAGGCGTGCGCGTGGACGAGGGGGGGGGGCGGACGAGGGGGGGTCCCAGGGGATACGCGGAAAGAAGAAGAAAGAACCACGAGACCCTCGGACCCTGGGATATCATGGCCCAGGCCATGACGCCCAACCCCCCCCGGCCCCCCCAGTCATCAACCTTTGGAGTCCCGAAACGGTGTGGTGACAGACCGTGCGGTGACCTCGAAATCCCCCAAGACCTCAACGCACGGTCCGTCAACGCACGGTTTTGGGACCTCGGATGCCCGTCGCCCGAGACGTCCTCGGAGAACCCCCGAATTCCCACCGACTCACCGCACGGTGTGGTCACCACCCTGTTTGGGGACCCCCTCTTGGCTGCTCCCGAGGGCGAGGGTGCTGCGGGAAGCGAGTCCTGGACCCCCAGGCGGCCCAAAGGGCTAGAGATCCTCATCCTTATCGACGGTCACATGGCCCGAGGGCCCCTGGAGGCCAGACGTCGCGCAAGTACAGCTTCGGACCCACGGACCCAAAGCATCTCCACGTCGTGGGGAGAGCTCGTATCGAGGTCCTCTCTCGGCGGCAGCGCGCGGGATCGAAACCGATGGGCGGAGCCTTCGGCCACGCTCGTAGGACAAGCCTTCTCTCCCAAGTTGGCCCATGCGCTGCGAGGACGACACAGAAAGCGAGAGAGGGGAGGGATGGAGGGAGGGAGGGGGAGACGAGACGAGACCTGGGCTGCGCGGGTCTTCGGCTGCGGCAGGGTATCGCGTATCGCGGCCGTCGGCGCTCGGGTGCGTCGGTGTGGTGCTGCTGGTGCTCTGCAGAGGCAAGGCGGCGGGGCGCCTCTGCAGGAGACCGTGGCAAATGTTGAGAGAGCGGGGGGAGGGCTCTGCGGCAACTCATGAGAGGCTGCAGTGCTATCTTGTTGGCCCTTGCGAGTCGACGCTAAGTTGACGCTGAGTCGGCGCAGGTCGACGCTACACAGTCGAAACGTGCATTACGGACGGATGGCAAGGACGCAGGGCCATTGGAGGCCAAAGTTGGCAAAGGACGGGCCGCAGAGGCAAGGACACAAGGGCACCCTAGATGAAGGCGCGCGTCCCTACTAGGCGCGTTGGCTGTGATTGAGGCGACGTCGGTGCTCTCTCACCGATTACAGGACGCTGGCGCACGCTTTGCCCACCCTCTCAGGACGGAATCGCGAGGGCCACGCAGGGCTCCCGGCGATCTGCTACCGCAGGAAGGACTCCCTCCTTCGGCGGCAGACCACGGGGGCGCTCCCTGGACGCCGGCACGCGAGCGCCCCACAGCCCTCTCGGGGCGCTTCTGGCAGGGGGGCGTCCTCGACAGCCGGTGCCCGCGAGGGAGGGGGGCCCAGAGCGCGCCCGTCTCCGCGCCCCCGCCGCCGCCCCGCGCATGGCCCCCTGCTTGTTCCTGCGCACGAGGGCGCCGGCCGGGCAGGTCCACGGCAGCAGAGGGCAGGCAGCGGAGAGGAGGCGTCCCGCGGGACGGCCCCCTCAAAAAGCCCCGGCAGGGGGCGCTGGGGCCAGGCAGATGCTCGGCTGCGAGCGAGGGGGGGCAGTAAGAAGAAGGAGGCCCTCTCAGGAGGCGACGGGACTTCTCAGAAGCCCTCGCGCCTTCCGAGATCCTGTGTCTTCGGGGAGGGCTCAGGAAACCTCTCGGGAGGCTGGGGGACTCCCGAGCCTTCCGAGAGGGCCCGCAACTTCTCACTTCCCCCCGGGCTTGCCGCCGAGATACAGCAAGGAGCGAGCACAGACTACGAGCGACGAGAAGGAAGAGGTCCTGCGCACGAGGACGCCGTGGCCTTCCGCGGCGGCACTGCGAGAGCGCCGCCGGCGCGGGGCACACCACGCAGGAAAGGCAGGGCGCTGGCGCGCGGCCGTGAACCTCTGCTCCGTCGGCCCCGTGGGCACGGTCTCCCCCGGGGCCGTGGGCGACCCGAGGAGGAGGAGGAGGAGGAGGAGGAGGAGGAGGAGGAGGAAGAGGAGGAGGAGGAGGAGGAGGAGGAGGAGGAGGAGGAGGAGGAGAGGAGGAGGAGGAGGAGGAGGAGGAGGAGGAGGAGGAGGAGGAGGAGGAGGGGAGGGGAGGGGGGGAAAGGCAAGCTAGGTGCGCTCGCGTCATATCTGACATCCTACCCCTCCCTCCCATCCCTTACCATGGCGCAGATCCCCTCTCTACTCGCACAGTCGGATGTCGAGCAGGGCAATGATCCCGAAAGGGTACGCGATGCATTGTAGAGCACGGCGTGGCATGGCGTAGACGAGCACCGCGAAGCGTAGTATCAACCTAGCATTGCATTGCATGCCGTGGCATGGCGCGGGAAATGACGCCAGCGCTGCAGCGGGAGCACGAATCGAAACGAGCGGAAGCGCGGAAATGAGGCCACCGCTGCAGCGGGAGCACGGCGGAAGCACGCCAGAATCGGCCCGGGAGGCTTCCCGGGCGCCAGAAGCAGAAATTCAGCATTTTCAAAAAAAAGAAAAATGTGCATTGGAATGGCATTTTTTCGGCGCCGCCTCGGAACTCGACTTTCCGGCGCCAGCAGGAACCGGCTCCGGACCCGGCCCGGGCGCCGGCCCGGGCGCCGGCTCGGGCGTCTGCTTGGATGGCCGACAGAGTTGTTGTAGCTTGTAGTACATATAGTTAACATCATACATACTAATATGTCACATAACATGTAGCTAACAGAGACTTAACTACACACATATATACACTTATTAGCCAACTTAATAAGTCGAATAAGTCTAGGTGTTTGTTCGGATGTTTGTTTTTTTAAGGGCGCCAGTTTTTTTGGTTGGCGTCGTCTGCTGGTTGGACCTGCGGTTTGCCTGCGTTGTGCGTGTTTTCTGGGCGCGCTTGCTTGATGATCGTTGAGCGTTTGTCAGGTTACGCCAAAAAAAAACTCCTCCTCCATATGTTCCTGCTCCTCCTCCTCCTCCTCCTCCTCCTCCTCCTCCTCCTCCTCCTCCCTCTTCGGCGGATTACCGCCTTCTTGATCCTCCTCCTCATCCTTCTTCGGCGGATTACCGCCTTCCTCCTCATCATCCCTCTTCGGCGGATTACCGCCTTCTCGATCCTCCTCATCCCTCTTACCGCCTTCTCGATCCTCCTCCTCGTCCCTCTTCGGCGGGTTACCGCCTTCCTCCTCCTCCTCCTCCTCCCTCTTCGGCGGATTACCGCCTTCTTGATCCTCCTCCTCATCCTTCTTCGGCGGATTACCGCCTTCCTCCTCATCATCCCTCTTCGGCGGATTACCGCCTTCTCGATCCTCCTCATCCCTCTTACCGCCTTCTCGATCCTCCTCCTCGTCCCTCTTCGGCGGGTTACCGCCTTCCTCCTCCTCCTCCTCCTCCTCCTCCCTCTTCGGCGGATTACCGCCTTCTTGATCCTCCTCCTCATCCCTCTTCGGCGGATCACCGCCTTCCTTATCTTTGCATGCTGCGGCGGATCAACCGCTTTCTTTCCTCCTGATCCGCATGCTCTCATTCTGCGGATCAGCCGCATTTCCCCTCCCCACCCCTTCCGCGGATCAACCGCGCGCCCCCCATCCTTCGATCTTGCGGATCAGCCGCGTTCTCGGGCGGCTCTACGCCATCTTCTGTCGGCGGGTCACTCGCCTCCTCCCTCTTCCCCCCCCATCCGCAGCCTTTTCCGCCTTTCATCGCAGCCTTTTATCGCAGCCCCTTTTGGCTCGGGCTGCCGCGGGGCGGCGGCGCGTCTCCTGCACGAGAATGGCGCTCCAGCAGGAGCTCCTTCAGCGCGCCGAGGGGGTGGGCCCCTTACTGCGCGCTGCGAGGGACCAGGGCGAAGCCGCGTGGAAGCAGGCGTCGGGTGCACAGGCTGCTCGGCTGGTCGAGCTCGTCGGATTGGTGCGCCCGCAGGGCCAGTTGCTCATTCGTCTCGCGGGTTTGGCGCAGCAAGACGGCTTCGCGCCTGCCGACGCACAGCTGTTGCAGAACGCCTTGGCCACGGCAGCCTCGAGCAGCGGCGGGGCGTGGAAGTCGCAGGACTTCGAGCATTTCCCGTATTTCTTGAGTGGTGAAGTGTGGGCCGTGCTCAGCGACCCCCATGGGGACGTCTTGCACAAGGCTCGGTCTGTTCTGTCGTTTCTCTCGTCGAAGCTGGGCCTCAAGAACCCGTCAGAAGGCACCCTCGCGCACGTGACGGCCCTCGTGACGATCTGCGTAGATGGGGCCCCAGCGGCCCGCAGCATGAGCCCCCACTTCTTGAAAGACACCTTTGACCACATCAAGACGATGTGGAAGGGCATGGTCAAGGCAGAGCCCTTGGAGAAGATGGCCGCGCTCCCAGCTGACCCCGACGCGTTCCGAGCTGCGTTCCCCGCCACGTGGGCCTCTGCGTACGGCGGCGGTGGTCCTGCGAGCATCGGAGTGTCTTTCGTCGATGTCTCCGTGGTGGCTAAATCGTTCAAGTGGCGCGAGAGGCAGCGCGCAGGGTCCGCGTCGTCGGCGCCACTTTTGCAGGCTCTGCAGAATATGATGGGTCAGACGCTGCAGCAGCCTCAGCAAGAGAGGCTCGCGAACGGTGCGGTGTTGACGTTCGCAGGGACGCAGCCGCGCAGCCTCGCTGGCGTGCAAGCGGCTGCGACGTCGGCCGCAGGGCAGCTCGCGGTAACGGACCTCCCGCAGCAACAGCAGCAGCAGCAGTTGCAGCAGCAGCAGCAAGACAACTACAACCTGCAATTGCAGGTCAAGCAGCTCCAGGAACAGCTGCAACAGCAGCAGCAGCAGCAGCATCAGCCGCCGCAGCCTCAGCCCAGTCAGTTCGCCCTCGAGGACGCCCACTCGGCGGGTGCCTCTGCAGGAGGGGCCCCGCAGGCGAAGAAAGCGAAGAAGGTGGACTCTGTGGAAGCAGCGGCCATGCAGGTACACGCTGCCATGCAGCAGGAGAAGGAGACCAAAGCCAAAGCGAAGGCCAAGGCGAAGCCCGCTGCCAAGACATGCGTGCTGAAGAAACCAGCGTCGGCACCTGTTGGCAAGGCGGCGGTGGTGACCAAAATCAGCGTGGAGAACACGCGCAGCCAGTGCGTCGCGCACTACGGGAGGGGCCCTGGCTCGACCAAGGTGTTCAAATGGGGCCCGAACACAGGCTACACGAAGGATACGTCCGAGAAGGCCGCCAAGCAGTGGATCGAGAATCGGCTGCGCGTCGGCTGAGGGGGTGACGGCTACGCGTAGCTGTCGGCACGACGCGTGCCATATTCAGTGCAGCCATGCCGACGGATGGCCGTCAGTATGAGCACTTTGCCATGACGTGGGTAGTGCTACGGATGGCATCGGCTGTTGGTTTCTTCGCCTGGCGCGCGTTGCGCTCGTGATGAAGCTCGTTCTTCTGTGAACTCGTTGCACCTCTATGCGCGCCACTGCTTTGAAAGAAAAGGCGTTGAAAAAAGTGCGGGTCAACCGCTTTCAGCGGATCATCCGCTACTTACCACGTTGTGCCAGGTCGGGGCAGGGAGGTCTGAGCAGGAATATGGAGGGATGGCATGACTAGGAAGGGATGAGACCGAGCAGAAGTTTGCCAGTGAAAAGGGAACCGCCGCTCTGGTCCAGAACCGCCCCCGCTCTGAATCGAAGCCACAGGGGCAGAACGGTGGCGGTTCTAGGCCAGAACGGTAGCGGTTCTGGACCAGAACGGGCAAAAATGGAGGTTCATGCGCGTTCGATGCCGTAGCCGTTTGCGCTCGCAGGGGCGCGCGCGGGCGCGCGCGGCGGGCTCGGCGCGCAGGGCGCCATGGCGGCGCCGAAGAGGTCCGCCTTCGAGGACCTCCAGAGCTTCTTCGAAGAGGCCGACGGTGCGTTCGATCAGATGGACGCCGAGAGGTCGCACGTGATCGGCTGCCTCAGGAAGGTGCTCGAGGACTCTGGCCACGTGGAGGCTGCGGACGTCCGCGACACCCCGCTGGAGGAGCCTGCAGCTGCTGCTTCGAGCTCTGCTGCGTCGGCGACTCTTGAGGTGGAGGTCGATCGCCCCGTTCGCCCTCGAGAGCAGGTCGTCGACGTCGACGCTCTGGAGCGCTCGGTCGACAACGTCCTGCGTGAAGGCGACGCGAACTCCGCGGGCGACGCGCCCATGCCCGACGGCGCGGCGGAACGCGTCCAGCAGCTCATGCTGCGGGATCCAGAGTTCGCGCGGATCGCCTTGCTCATGGTGATGAGTCCGCTCTCCGTGGACTGGAACGACCCCGCCGTCATCAACGTCGAGAAGACGCTGATCTTGGAGTTCCAGTGCCACAAGAAATTCAGGCAGCGGGGCCCCCCTGGCCCATTGCAGGGAGGGCCCACGGAGTGGAGGGGCCAAGCCTGGAGGCAGAACAGCGGTCGGTGGGGCTCCCGCGGCGGCCGCAGCGTGCGGCTTGCCGAGTTCCAGGCGAAGTTCGGCAAGGAGCGAGGCACGGAGGCTTTCCTCGAGGACGAGGACCGACGCCGCAGCTTGCGGCAAGACAGCTTCGTGGCGAAGTTCGGCATGGAGCGAGGCACCCAGGCCTTCCAGGAGGACGAGGCCGCTCGCGCGAGCAAGTCCAAGGCGGTCGCGCGCATGATGGCCGCCCCACCGAAGGCCCACCAGCCGAGGATGGTGCTGCCGACGGTCGACCCTCCGACCAGCAAGGCGCGCCCGACGCCCAAGATGGTCGCGCCCGTGCCGATCGCGCGGCCCGCGGCCAAGGGCAAGAGCAAGGAGGCGGTCTCCAGCAAGGGCACTGCTGGCAAGCACGGCAAGGGCTCCGACGAGGACACGGACAAGGGCTCCGACAAGGGCGTTCGCAAGGGCACGGCCGTCAAGAGCAAGGGCGGCCACAAGGGCGCGGACAAGGGCAAGGACGCGCACGTGGTCAAGAACGTCCTCCAGCCCACGTCCAAGCGCCCCGCGCCTCGGACGCCGTCGCCGCATCGCAGGCCTAAGCGGCGGGCGACGCCAGCGGGCGCGGGCCGTTGCACTTCCTGTGACGCGCGCTATTGTTCTTGGAAAAAATACGCGTACTTCCTCGGCGGCTCATCCGCCATGGCGGTTTATCCGCCTGTGTGTGCACGAGTGTCGCTGCGCGCGCGTCACGCGTGTGCTTCCTCGGCGGCTCGCCCGCCATGGCGGTTTACCCGCCTGTGTGTTCGCCACGCACATGCTCTCGCACCGTTTTTTCTGTATAGGCGTTTTGGCTCGAACGCGAAGCGCACGTGGGCCGCCCGTCGCCGCCAGCTTCCGCATCCATGTCGGACGCTGCGTCCTCCTCCGCTGATGTCCAGCCTGCTGCCGCGCACGCTGACGACGGAAGCCCGACGTGGATCATGCGGGGTGGGAAGTGCCCCTTTGGCTCGCAGTGCAGCAAGCGCTCGGCGACCATCAAGTCGTGCCACTCGTACGAGGATGCCGTGGAGTCGATCATCCATCACTTGGTGACGTCGCCCTACCACGAGCTCGAGCGCTCCGAGGCTGAATCGGCCGTCGACTTCAACTTGATCGAGTCCTGGGAGGTCGACAAGAAGAAGTGGGCCGAGGAGCAGGACAGGTGGCAGAAGAAGCAGCGCAAGAGCTTGCCGTGGCAGCCCACCGCGGAGCCCGCCATCAGCGCGCCGCCGACGGGTGCTGGCACGGGTCGCATCACGCTCTCGGAGATGCAGGTGAGGGCCTGCGTCGACTCGCTGAAGCGTGCCAAGGTCTCGGCGGAGAGCGCGGCCAACCTCTGCGCCAAAGCGGCTCGGGCGTTCAACGAGGAGGTCACGTGCATCCAGCAGTGCGTCGAGGTGATCGAGTCGTACGTCCAGCCGACGCGCGTGCTCCCCCTGCGCTAGGCTGCTGGCGGAGCTCAGGTTTTGGCCACGCGCGTCGGCGCCTCGCTTAGCACGCCCACGTCGGGTGCTCATTCGCGGGCTCGGACGCCGAATCTTTGCTGGGAACACCAGCACACCTTCCTCGTCGCTGCGCTCATCATCTTGGATCATTGTCACGAGCGGTTCACTCGCTGATCGGCGGATCATCCGCCAAGGGAAGGGCATCGGCGGGTCGACCGCCATACAGCGGATCATTCGCTGCTCAACGATGTGACCGATAACAACCGATAACGACCGATAACGTTTCGATAACGATGTTATCGGATCGACCGATAACAACCGATAACGCCGATAACGCTATGTTATCGGCAACGAAACCACATCCGATAACATCAAAATAACATCCGATAACGTCCGATAACGTCCGATAACGTCCGATAACGGTTATCGGAGCCGAAATTGCATCCGATAACGTTGTTATCGGGTGTTATCGGTGATCGTTATCGGATGTTATCGCATGTTAGCGCGACATCCGATAACTGTTATCGGTATGTTATCGGTTGTTATCGGATGTTATCGGATGTTATCGGTATGTTATCGGGCTTATCGGATGTCATCGGCCGTCATCGCCCTCCTCCGCGGTTTCAGATATTTTGCCGCCCGCCATCTTGGACATCCACCTTCGCCCGCCCTGAAGCTCAAACCGAGCGTGCGAATGAAATCGAAACAAATCCTCCTTTTCCTCTGGCACACTGAGCGTGGTACTCCGTTTATCTTACCCCTCCCTCGTCTCGATTGAAACCGTTCTGCTATAACGAAGCGCGACTCGATAGGATCCGTTCTTCTCTTCTCTCCGCGCCTTCGCGTACCTCCAGGGGAAAACATTTGCACAGATCGTGTTCTGGACCAGTTGTTTTTTTCTCTCCACGTACCGCATCCTCCTCTCCTCCATCCGCAGCCGTTGTGCTTGCAGGGCAACGCGCGCGGGCTCCTTGCTTCTGCGCCCCCGTGTCCCATCTCGCCTCTCGCGGTTCCGATGTCGCTGCAGTTGGCCTTGATGCCACCGCCTGCCGCGGCGCCCGTGCCGACGGCTAAGGCCAAGGGCAAGGCCAAAGCCAAGGCCAAGTCGAAGAGCAAGACGGCCACCGTCGAGATGGCGAATGACGCAACAGTTGCTTGGTGGACAAAGTTCAAGTCGCCTGGGTCGGTTGTCTCTGGCTCGGAGGCTGCCGATAGCCCGACGGCGACGACGCTGGCGCTCGCAGCTCCTGAGGTGGCCGACTTGGGAGACTTCGAGGATGCGCCCGAAGGCGACGATGTTGCCTCGTCGGGGGCCGCTGCCTCGTCCGAACCGCTTGCCGTCGAAGACGCCGCCTGCTCGCCGACTCCGACTCAGGAGGTGGCAGACAAGGCTTCTCCCCCGGTGCTCAAGCCGACTCCCACTCCAGGCGAGGTCTTCGTCTGGCAAGGTCCTGAGGTCAAGCGCGAGCCGTCGAACCCAACGTGCTACAGGTGCAAGCAAGAGGTCGATGTCTTGAGGGCACCACTGATTGGGAAAGGCCAGGGCTCGTGGAAGTGCGAAAAGTGCAACACGCGCGGAACGCAGTTGTCCCGCTTGTTCGGATCGTGGCCACCTGCCAGCTTCAGGAGGCTTGACTCCTCAGCGCAAGCGAAGTTCTGGCAAGATGCAAAGGAGAAGGCTGGTAAGGATCAGCTCGAGGAGCTGTTCGTCCAGACTCTCACGACGACTCGGATCGAGCAGGAGGTTGCCCAAGTGGGCGGGGAGTATCTGCCGTTGTCAGTTTACGCCCAGCGTGGGTTCGATGTTACACGCATCGAGAAGGAATGCAAGGACACCGAGGAACACAAGATCCTCGGAACTTGCTAACGCGTGGACATCAGGGGTGGCTATTCGAAAACGATCGAGCAGCTCGCCCGCGCCGAGGTGCAGGAGCTGAAAGCGAAGGCGAAGGCGCCGCCTCCGACGCAGCCGACGCAGCCAGCTCCAGGCAAGAGCGAATCAGATGATTCGGAAAGCGGCTCGAGCAAGACGAGCAGCAAGAAGGGGAAGAAGTCGAAGAAACAGAAGAAATCCAAGAAGCAGTCCAAGAAATCCAAGAAGGCCGACAAGAAGGACAAGCGCGACAGGAAGGACAAGAAGTCCAAGAAGCGCGCAGCGTCCTCGACCTCGGATTCGGATTCGGACTCGAAGTCTGAGAATGACAAGGGCCTGCAGGCGAAACAGAGGAAGCTCGAGCAAGAGAAAGCCAAACAGGCCAAGAAGAACGTTGCCCTGGCGACCCGCGTCTTGTGCAAGATCGAGAGGCCCAGGATTTCTCTTGATCGCGATCTCAAGGATCCGATGTCGAAGCACGTGCCGAAGTACACCATCGATCCAGCCAAGAAAAAGCTCAAGGAGCTTGAGAAGCTTTACTCTGAGTTCAGGAAGGTCCACGACGAGCGTGGCATGGGGGGTGAGGTGACGACAACGGTGGCTGAAGTGGATGACCTTGTGAAGACTTCGATCGAAGCTGCCGCGCTCCTTTCCAAGCTGCTGAGCACTGCGAAGAGCAACGTTCCGAGCGGGGACGACGTGTAGGCTCTCCCCGTCTGCGTCTGCCGTGACCGCCCGTCTTCTCACTGCCCGTCTGAGTCTCTGCGGAGACGACGTGTTAGGTCGGCGCTGCAGTCGCGCGGGAGGCACCGTGCATGCTTCCAGCCAGCTTTGGCTTCAGGTCCGCCCTGACGACGAGGGGCTGACATGACCCAGCGCTCGATTAGCCCTGCAGTTTGCCATGGCGTGGGTAGTGCCACGGATGGCGCCCGACCGCGCGAGCCCCGACTGCACTTGCTAGTCTCAGGGGACACGCCGCGATCACGGGATAGCGCTCAGTTTGCAGTAGCGCTCGGGGTTAACTCACACCGACTTCAATGGGAAGTTGCTCGTGGAAAACCCATCGATAAAAAAAGCGGTTCAACCGCTCGGCGGATCATCCGCCAATCATTTTCTTCCTCTTCTCAAGCTCAGCCGCGGCTCAACCGCTGAAAAATCCATCAATCAAAAAAAAGCGGATCAACCGCTCGGCGGATCATCCGCCAATCATTTTCTTCCTCTTCTCAAGCTCAGCAGCGGTTCAATCGCTGAGCAGGTTATCCGCTAGTCGCTCATTCCTTTCGTCGGCCATTTCTTCCTCTCATCCACCGTACTTCCATTCCTCCTCCTCCTCCTCTTCCTCGGAGTCACAAGGACTTATTGGCCTCGGTGCAAGGGGGGGTGGGACGACCCAGACGACGTCGACGAGGGGTCGCGTTCCACCCCCCGAGGGTTAAAACTGAGGCCAAACTGGGGCCTCAGTTTTAACCCTCAAGCGGGCCAGGTCACCGTAGGCCATGGGCGTATACGCTGTCCTTTCATCTGATCGCTCCTGATCGCTCCTTCCTTGCGTTCCCCGTGCTTCCATTCCACGCCTCCTCCCGCTCCTCTCCCTCCTCCTCCTCTCCCTCCTCCTTCGCCTCGCCCCCTTTCACACATCCCTTCCCCTCACTCCCCCATCATCCCTCTCCTGCTGCTTGTGCTGATGTAGGTTCAGCATCTCCGCCCCGTCGTTCTTTCCGCAGCCATTTCAGCATCGGGCGATCGGCGCCCTGTCCCGCCTCCCGCCCCTCCACCGCTGCCTCCCCGCTCGCCTCTGTCGGCCATGGAGCCGCTCGCGAAACGGCAGAGGATCCTCGATATGTTGAGCAGGCGGAACTTCAGCGAGAGCGACGTCGTGGCGGCGCTCGCCGCGCCGGGAAGAGATGAAGCGGCGTCTCGGCGAGATGTGCGGGAGTGCGTGGATACGTTCACTGCGGACGTTCTCGTTCAGCTTACGCTGCAAAAGCAGGGTGGCGACGCCTTTGACTGGACCATCGCCAAGTATCAACTTCTCCTCCCGAGGTGTCTTGCCCAGTGCGCGGGTTTCAGAGAGGAGTTCGAGAATGCAGTGGCGAGGTCACCGAATAGTTTCGACAGGCCGTGGCGCCTGGCGCTGTACATAGATGACGTGGTGCCTGGCGATGTTTTGAGGTTGAACAACAAGCGAAAGACCACGTGCTGGTATATAGGCATACTTGAGATGGGACGCTATCTGCGATGCGAAGAGGCATGGCTGCCCGTTGGCGTGCTGCGCGCCACCATCGCTAAAGATCTGCAGGGAGGTTTCCCAGCTGCGGCCAAGGCGCTCCTGCGTTCGCTCCTGCTCGGCTCCGACAGCGTCGCCGTGGCAGGCGTCAGCGTGCCGTGCGGTGGCCAATCGCGGATTATGTATTTCAAATTTCAGCGGTTGATCGGTGACGAAGTTGCGACGAAAGCGTTCTTCGACACGAAAGGCTTTGGCGGCATTAAGTGTTGTTCCATATCGTGCAAGAACGTAGTGAAGCTGAACAAAGATGGCGTGACTGATTCGCTCGCCGATCATCAGACTGGCACGTACCTGGTCGACGTTTCGTGCTCTGACCCCTCGCAGTTCGACCCGATGTCAGACGAGGACGTTTGGCGCACGCACGATATTCTGGATGCCGTGCGCAGGAATGGGGGTGCGTTGAAAAAGGCACAGACAACGATGGGATTTTCTTTGAACGAACACGGCGTTCTGGCCGACAAGGATCTTCGCCCACACGTGTTTCCACATTCCTGCCTGCTGCGCGATTGCATGCACGTGTACCTGGCAGGCGGCATCGTGAATATCGAGATTGGCTTGCTTTTTAATGGTGTTGCTGAGTGTACTCCTGGTTTTTCCTTCCGTTTGCTGAAGACGTTCGCCGAGGCCGACTGGCATTGGAACCCAGGAGGGCTGACCAGGAGCGAGTTCGCTGACATATTCAACGGGTCTCGGGAGATGGCGTGGAAATCAAGCGGTGTCTTTCGCGCGGGGGCATCTGAACTCTTGTCTGCATTCCCATTCATCAGATACTTTGTTGTTGAACACGTTCCCGCGCACAAGGTGCAGTTGGAACGCCAGAGCTACCTCCGTCTCTGTGACGTTCTGGACAGCATCAACGAGGCAAAGCACTATTCCACGCCCGTTGCTATGAAAGATATCATGCGGCGTGCAGTTGGCCGTTTCCTTGACGCGCATAAGGCCGCGTACCGCCTCGACTCCATCGTCCCAAAACACCATTATCAGTGGCACGCTGTGTCAGACCAAGAGGACGACATATTTCTTGATTGCTTTGTGCACGAAAGGAAGAACAAGATCGTGAAGCAATCAATGACCCACATCGCGAACACGGCGGCATTCGAGAAAAGCTCGGTCCAGCAGCTTCTCGTCAAGGTGTTCCCAGCGATGGACAAAGTCAGGATGACCGAATTGTGCGAGCCCGTGGCGGTGAGCCAGCCGTTGTCCGACAAGTTTGGCCAGGTTTGCGTCGTGTCCAAACAGATGAGGTGGCGGGGCTTGCTGCTCAGAGTTGGCAGCGTGGTTTTCATTCAGAACGCGGCGGTCGAGGTTCAAGCGTGCTTGTCCGCTGGTGGCGTTCTAGCGCTTATCGTGGGAAAGCTTGCGCTGGTGCGTCGCGAGCCGCTCGGTGGGTACTCTATCTGGACTAGAACGGGACAGTCGGAGCTCCTGGTGCCCGAGGGCGCGCGCAAGGCGACTGGATGGTTCCTCAAGAGCGACAACGCGCTGGTGGTGATTCACTGAGCTCGGAGAAAATCATCTTGAAAAAAAAAGCGGATCAGCCGCTGTAGCGGATTACCCGCTCATCCGCCCCTCCTCATCATCGTGCTCACCACCGTCATCATCATCACCGTCGCTCCTCCACGTCATTTTTTGTCAGTTGGCCCAGGGAAAAAAAGCAACGGCCGCTAGCGGATAAGCCGCCACATGCGTCGCGTCCCCCCCTCCTTCCACGTCTTCCTCCGCCGCCTGCCTCTCCGCTCGGCTCTCCTCCTTCATTTTCTGTGCCGCGAGTTTTTTTTTCTGCGTCAGCCCGTTCAGGTGGCCCTTCTTAGGTTAGTTAACTTAGTTGACTTATTTGAAACACTTATTTTTTGTATATGTTGCATGTTATGTCGGATACATATCCCTAGGTATGTTCTATCCGCAGATGTTATGGACATGTCAACACCTATAAGGTACTATATTGATAATGCAAACATGTCCAGACATATAACTAGGGATCGTGTTGCTTATAACAAGGGATATCGCAGGTTATAAATCGTACAAGCTACAACAACTCTGTCGGCCATCCAAGTGGCCGCGGGCGCCGGCTCGGGCGCCAGCCCGGGCGTCGGAATCGGCCCGGGAGGCCAGGCCCCCGTGGCGCCGGAAGCAGAAATTGAGCATTTTCACAAGAAAAGTGTATATTAGAATGGCCTTTTTTCGGGGCCGCCTCGGAACTCGATTTTCCGGCGCCGGCCGGAACCGGCTCCGGACCCGGCCCGGGCGCCGGCCCGGGCGCCGGCTCGGGCGTCCGGCCCGGGCGCCGGCTCGGGCGCCGGCCCGGGCGTCGGAATCGGCCCAGGAGGCCGAAGCAGAAATTGAGCATTTTCAAAAAAAAATGTGTATTAGAATTGCCTTTTTCCGGCGCCGCCTCGGAACTCCATTTTCCAGGGGCGGCCGGAACCGGCTCTGGACCCGGCGGCCCGAGCGCCGGCCCGGGCGCCGGCTCGGGCGTGCAGCCCAGGCGCCGGCGGAAATGCGGCCAGCGCTGCAGCGGGAGCACGATTCGGGGCGAAAACCCAACTCCGGGGAAACCTATGTGTAAAAAAACAATACGCGGGGGGGGGGGTCGGCTACTCCCATTCCGTCATCACGGGAAGAGGGAGTAGTATTCATATTGGGTAATTGTAGATGGGGGAGGAGGAGATGGAGGACGAGGAGGAGGAGGAGGAGGAGGAGGAGGAGGAGGAGGAGGAGGAGGAGGAGGAGGAGGACGGGTCGCCTAAGCCCTTCGGAGAACCCCTCCAGTCCCGTCCCTCTCCGTCGCCCACATGGTGAAACCTGCGACGGCCACTGCAAGAGGCCAAGCCCAAGGTCAAGGTCAAGCCGAGTCAATCACTAGGCTCCTGCAGCCCCAAGGAACGTGCATCATGAGCGGGATGAGACAGCACATGCCTAGTAAGCTGCGCAAAGCGATTGCGGATGCGCGTACCAAATGCAGGCAATCGTGAGCAAGGTGGGGAAACACCAGGCGGTCATCGCCCGGGCACACGGCCTGAGCGAGAGCGCCAGGCAGACCAAGAGAACCACACGAGACCAGCTTGCCACTGCGCGAGCCGACGAGCAGGCCTGCGGCCCGGGAATCACAACTGAAACAAGGACCGACCCGATGCCGGATTGGCGCCGACAGCCCACGGCGGGCGAAACATACAAAGTGCCATAACCCCGGCATCACGGGCATCCCTGGGCACTCTCGGGCGTAGCCGCGTGACTATTCACAGGCAACGCCGCAGATCCAATGATACGGACTGCGGGGCAGGCCGACAAAGAAAATAAAAGTATATCGCTATCGCAGACAAGCAGATTGTTCTGCGTGCACACGAGGCGCCGTCCTCGACAGAGCGCGCAGCCCGCGGCCCACACAAGGCGGGGCCTGAAAATCCGAAGGCCCCCTTGTGGGGCCATCAGGCTGCGTGGCAGAGGTGTCCTGTTTCGTGGACCAGTGCCAGGTTCCAGTGTTGTAATACTACTGTTAGGTCCGGCACGTCATCATAAAGGCGGATTTGGGGAAAAACATAAAACAGTAGACAAAACACTTTCAACAATAGTGAACATAATGAAACCATCGTCTCGAGACTGTATTCAACTTTGTTTGGGTATTCCTCCTGCAGGAAGACATGCCCGACTTGGTACTACTGTCTGCATCCTGCCCAACATTGCTGCTGTCCGCGCAATGAAGGGGCGGACAACCAACCCGCTACTCTTTCCGCGAACCGCCTGCTCTGAAAAATCGGGGGGCCCTGGGACAAGTAAGAAAGCATGAAGAACCGTGCCTCGAGGCAATCACCCGTTGTAAATAAGGCCGGATTCCCCTCCCGCGGCCATGCCCCCTTGCAAGTTCCGCCAGATTTGCACTCCCGAGACCACGACCCGACGTCAATTACTGTAGGCTCGCTCCCACGACGCAACGATCCCTTGAACATTACGCCAGCTTCGGGAATTAGTCTGGATTCGCGCCCGAATCACAATCCGTCGCATATTGCACCAGATTCGAGCCCCCGAACCCACGATCCTCGCACAATTCGCCAGATTCGCTCCCACGACGTCGCGGTCCCTTGTAAAGCACTCCGAATTCGCGCCCACGAGGCCACCAGCCTTGGTAAATTACGCCAGGTTCGCGTTCCCGAGGCCACGATCCCTAGTAAA